CCCCCCCCAAACGAGACACCAATGATTGATCATGTAAACAATGATCGGTCAAGATTATGCATGACGGGACTTCTGAATTCGAAATTCAGGAACAACTCCATAAAAAACTAGTTAAAGAGGAAGGCAGAGTGCTGAAGTCCCATCAAGCCAGTTTCAGTAGTGTGTGCGCATATTATATAATACGTGACCCTGGAGCACAAAACCAGTCATAAGTAGCATATTTGTAGCGATAGCCAACAATACATTGTATGGGTCAAAATTATCCATTTTTCTTTTATGCCAAAAATCATTAGGATATTAAGTAAGGATCATGTTCCATGAAGATATTTTGTAAACTTCTTACCATAAATATATTAAAACTTAATTTTTGATTAGTAATATGCATTGCTAAGAACTTCATTTGGACAACTTTAAAGAGGATTTTCTCAATATTTAGATTTTTTTGCACCCTCAGATTACAGATATTCAAATAGTTGTATCTCAGCCAAATATTGTCCTCAAACCCTTAATACTGGTTTTGTGGTCCAGGGTCACATATTACGTAATCTGCAGTCAGTTTAAAAAAAGACATGATCAGAAAGTCTTCTGCAACAGATGTTAATCATATAACATTAACAATATTGTCGTCTTAAGAACAAGAGATATTTGAAAACTTCTTGAGTATTTTTGCACTTAAGAAAAATTCCAAGAAGTTTGCCATAATTTTCCTAAGAAAGTTCTTAACTCCTTAAGAAGATTTTTGTGAATTCAGCCCCAGATGTTTTGCCGATCTGGCCCGGAGACAACTAATTCTCTAACCAATAAATACTTGGATGGCATAAAAACATACCAAGGGCAAGATGCAGCAGGAGGGCCGGTTTGAATGCAGAAAGCATCCCATAGGCTTAAACGTCTTGTTTCTACATGTTTAATGTGACCTCCGTGTGCTTGGCTCCCCCTGCGAAGGGCATTACCTCCACAGTTTCAAAGCAGTCCGTCTCAAATATCGCATCCTCTCTCAGTACCCTTCATCCACCGAGGGGGGCCACTTTTGTGTGTTTGTCAGAGTGTGTATGTACCTATATAGGTGTATTCATTACCATTCAATGAAATGTATTTGTAATGTGATAGTGTACACTTTGCTGTTTTACCTGGGTTCAGGTTGTGTGTGTCTGTGCTGGCTGTGGATCGCTTCGGAGATAGTCCGGAGGCTGCTTATGGGATTTTTGATGGCGATCGTAATGAGGAAGTTTCCAGGTTACTGCAGTGCACCATGGGAGATGTATTGGCAGAGGAGATACAGCACTCCAGTGTGGACAGTGTATACATGAGCAACACTTTCCTTACCTCCCATAGGTGTGTTTTGCGCACACACACACACACACACAAGTTGATTTGATTAAGCTTTTTTTCTTTTTTCCATAAATCATGTATGCTTCAGTTTGCTTGTACAATCATTGGTAACTAACTGTATGAATTTATAACATCTTTTATTACAACGTTCTCTGGAATACTTGATTCAGTCATGACATTCGATCGATATATTTGTATAATGACCGTCTATTTATACATTGGTCTACTTTTTAGTGTCACTCTGCATTCTCTTTCTTATCACATAAGTAATTTAAATTTCATATCCATTTATTTATTTGGTAAGTAGTTATATAATGAATGGGATCATGTATAGTCAGTTGGTCATTACTTACGTAATGCTCAGCAGAAAGTAGTTTAATTTAAATTTAAATGTATGATATATATGAGAATGATTAAGTTTCATGACATTTCTAACTGTTAACTTTTTAAGTGATGCACCTAATAATGTTTACGTAAAAGTTTAATTTTTATCAATAAATAATCTTTATGCTAAGTATATTATAGTGTGAATATCAAAGGAAAATATCTTTAAATAATAACCAATTGTGTATTGCAACTATGGAGCATTCAAGTCCTCATGGAAAAATTATATTTACAATTTGGGAAGTCGAAATTACAACATCAGGTGCCTTTAAATGAGTTTGGTCGGAGCAAGATGGCAGTTCAGCAAGATTGATGACGAATGCACATCATGCATTTCGCTTTTTTGTTGTTTTCAATTCATGAAGAATTTGTAAACAAAGTCATTATATATTCTATCGTAGTTGTACAGTACTATCGTAGTTCATACAAGCAACTTAAAGAGAGAGTTCACCCAAAAATTAAAATTGTCATTAATTACTCGCCCTCATGTCGTTCCAAACCCATAAGAGCTTAGTTCATCTTTGGAACACAAATTAAGATATTTTTGATGGAATCTGAGAGCTCTCTGACCCTCCCATAGACAACAAGGATCCTAACACGATCAAGGCACAGAAACGTAGCGAGGACATCGTTAAAATAATCCATGTGACATCAGGGGTTCAACCGTAATTTTACAAAGCTACGAGAATAACTTTATTCAACAATTCGTCTCCTCCGCGTCACCCTATAGCGCCATTTTGGAGAGTATCACAACGTATGCTGTTACGTGTCAGCAGCACCACGCGTAATGTTTACGTTCAGATCAAAGCTATTTTTGTTTTCTTTGCGCACAAAAAGTATTCTCGTAGCTTCGAATAATTATGGTCGAACCACTGATGTCACATGGCTTATTTTACCGATGTCCTTACGTTTCTGGACCTTGATCGTGTTAGGATCCTTGTTGTCTATGGAGGGTCAGAGAGCTCTCAGATTTCATAAAAAATATATTAATTTGTGTTCCAAAGATGAACGAAGGTCTTATGGGTTTGGAACGACATGAAGGTGAGTAATTAATGACAGAATTAAAATTTTTGGGTGAACTATCCCTTTAAAGGAGCTAGTTTTATTAAAAAAGAAAACCTTTATTGCATCCACCATATTTTGTCACTGACGCCCACAACTCTGAAACTCGTGCTCAAAGAAAACCCACTGGCAATTAAAACTTACCATTCAACTTCTGAATCTGACTTGAATGCCCCATAGTTCAGACAGAGCTTTGAATTTAGATTCTTAACTCTATGAATAACAAATGCATTTCTCATATTGCGTTGTGCATTTTTGCAGGAAACTTGGCATGGCAGGCCAGAAGCTCGGTGCCTCTGCTCTGCTCTGTTACATCCATCATGAGTCCTCCGAGCCTGGCCGCTACTTCAGCCTCACTGTGGCCAACGTAGGCACCTGCCAGGCTGTACTGTGTCGTGATGGGCAACCTCTTGCCCTCTCAAAGGTTTTCAGCCTAGAACAAAGCGCTGAGGAGATGGAGCGTGTCAAACTGGCAAAAGCTATTATCACTGAGGTATTGACTCATTCTCAGGTCATCCCATAGACCTTAGTCAGGTTAGATGCCATATTGCATTGTACGTAGAAGAAAACCAGGCTGTGAGCAATAGACTTGCAGTCTTAATAATGGCACATGCTGTATAAAGTTCCTAGATCTCTCTCAAAACTCTTTTATGGAGTTTTGACTACTGATTTTTTAATTTTTCGTTTTGTCAGCTGAATAATTGGCACGTTAAACAGCATTTATTGCAATCCATTGAAGGAATTGTATCCCTCACCTCTTGGCCTTGTGTTCCTTCCTGTGATTTTAAGTTTGAAAATGTTTTTTATTATGATTTTTTAATACTGCCTTTTTATTTTAAAATATAATAGTATTAATCGCACGTTATTATTTTGTTTATTTTGATTTTAAAAAACTAAATAAAGTTAAATAATATTTTCATCACTATTATTAATAAATTTTTTTAATAGTTATAGTTAATATTTTAAGTCACACTATGTGCAGTGTGAGGACCAAACCAGATCTCCAGGTGCTCTTATGAGAACCAGGCTGAAAAACTAATGTGCACCCCTGTCTATAAGCTAACTGGCCGATGCATCATGCTGTTTAATGTAAATATGGACATGAATGAGAAGTAGCAGCTTATTTGTGTCTCTAATCATTTGACTCTTGTGCTGTAGGATAACAAGGTGAGTGGGGTGACATGCTGCTCACGGTTACTTGGCTGTTCCTACCTGTTTCCTTGGGTACTTCCCAAACCCTGTGTGCACACAGAGCCTCTGTGTTCCCAGGATGAGTTCCTGATCCTAGGAAACAAAGCACTCTTCCAGAAGGTTTCCTACCAGGAGGCAGTGAGCACTGTGCTGGCTGTCAGAGACCCCCGTGCTGCTGCCAAAAAGCTCTGCACGCTGGCACAGAGCTATGGGTGCCGGGATAACGTGGGAGCAGTGGTGGTAGCTTTGCATATCGGAGAAGACAGCTGTACATGTGAGCCTCCTCTCTCGAACGCAGAAGCCCGAGGACCACCTTTACTGATCTCCATGTTCCCTGGTGACCCAGCCACGCCGTCATCTAGTAGTGGCATCGCCTCGGAGTTCAACAGCGAGATGTCTGCTTCGGAAGTTGGCAGCGAGGCTGGGTCCACAGCTTCGGACGAGCACCCCTCTTCGGGACCAACAGCTCGTCCGGAGCGCCGCTGTAGTTTGCATCCCACTGCTACCTTATGTAACATAGGGCCAGTGGCGAGCTTGGGGCCAGGGGCGCACCCGGCTCTATTCCAGCGGCAACCTTCCAGTGCAACCTTTTCAAGCAACCAATCGGACAATGGACTAGACAGCGACGACGAGGCTCCTTTAGAAGGTGTCATCTCAAACGGAAGCAAGCTTGAGGTAGAAGTGGACATCCATTGCTGCGCTTTTCAGCTGCGCTCCGGACCACCGGAAAGTCCCAAGGACCTGGACGGCCGGCATGATTCGAGGGGCTCGGATTATCCCAACAGCAAAATGCGGCGGCAAAACAGCGTGGTGGTTTCTGCCACCAACGGCTGCCTGCTGGCTGTATGTGGCCGAGAGATCTCAGATCTGAAGAAGTCTCCTTCAACATCTAGTCTCTTTGGGAAAAAGCTGTCTAATGGCTCCGTAGTGGCTCTCGAGGACAGCCACAATATTATTGAGGTAGCACTAGAGGCCCCAAAAAAGAAGTCTGGATATTTCGCCGCACCAGCCCAGCAAGACCCAGAAGACCAGTTAATTATTCCGCCCAGTCTGGAGCAAGATGTGCGGGAGCAGCTGAGAGGCCAGAGCCCAGTGGTTCCCGGGCCGCCGCCGGCTCCTTTAACGCTGCCCTCAGCGAGAGACCCCAACTGGGACCATCCTCAGCCCACCGTCCCCTGTCTCCACCCCAACACCGTCCTGCAACAGGACGTCTACGACACCGCTCTATAGTTGGTGCAAGAGGACCGCACCATTGGAGCATCTCCGCATCATAGTGCCACATCAAAGAGGCTAGCACACTCGAGATAATCCAGTTCTTATTTAGCGCCATCATCACGTGTAGTTCCATGCATGTGTGTTCTTGGGCTGATCCGAGTCAAGAACGAATGGGTGGAAATGTCAGGACCGATGAAATCTTGAAGATTGTGGAAATACATGGGCTATTCCTGACCAAAAACCACAGCATGGAGCTGGAGTACCTCATACATCACCATGCGCGAGTTCATTTCGACATTCGCCCTTTATATCAAAGGTCACAGGCTTACGTAGGCTTTGATGATCACATTTGCCTTCTGGAGGAAAGATACTATCAAGCTAAACTGAGACCAAAAGATGTGAAAAGTGCCTCTTGGAGATGGTTGAGGTTCAGAGAGCCTTTACTGTTCTGGTGTAAGTGCAGTGTTGTTCTCCTACCTTCCCATAGTGGCAACTAGTCGGTAATCTGACCTTTTGAAGTCTGTGAGGAATATTTCAGACGGATCTCTTCCCAATCTGACCTGCTGGAAACATCCCGTTCCATTTCATGGAAAGGAGTGGTGGTTGTTGTGCAAAGATGTTGTTGTTGAAAAAGACCAGAACTTTCTCCGCCGTTCCTGATCTCCTCTCTTGTATGCATACGGGATCTCCCAGACAAAGCCATGGGGGTCTCTGGGACCCTCTGCACAATAGAAGAGTACAATGAACCCAACGTAACATTCAAACCCTGGAGAGGGAATCGGTCTAGTGATGGAGGCAGAGTGAGATGGAGACATAAACTACATCCAATGCTCAGTGGAAGCATCGCCACACCTTTAAGGTCATTTGGGGAGCAAAAAGACCTCACAACCTCTCGGGTTGTTTAGAGTACTTGAAGTTTCGAGTGTGCCATGACTACATGACAGAGCCCATGCTATACAGCCTTGGGCCGTGAATACGTCATTGGGTCTTTGTAGTAGTGCAGTTTTGCTGTTGATCTGAGTGAGGTTGGGATATTTTCTCATTATCTCATAATCAAGGAAAAAATTATCAGCTGACATTTAGTTTTTTTTGTATGAGAGGTACTGGGCATATGATATGTATGTGTGTGGGTATGTGTGCTCTATTTTAGCCATGCATGGTACGTATAAGGAAACAGGCTGGTCAGAGTTTGTTTTTTATTTGAATCAGGAGACCTGAGGAAAGAGACTATATTGGGTCATTTGAGTTTGTCATTGCCACAATCACAGGATCAGGGAATTCTGAGCAGTAAAACACTGTGCTCACTGTTTGAGGAGACATCTAGTGGTGTTTATTGGAAACAACAATGTTGTTTTTTCAGGGTTTTCCCTGGAATTAAGTTCTTTTTGCACAACTCATTATTACATTTCAAACTTTTTTTTAAAATAATAATAAATAAAAATTAATAAAGAATTAGAGAATTAAAATTAGGGACAATCAAGTGCAAAGCCAATTGTTAGATACTCAATTTAATGATTTTATTAAAAGCTCCTTTTTTCTTTTGCCAATTGTAGGGCATCGGTTGTATTAAATTATATTATTAGGTGCACTCTCATAATTCATTAGATTCAATTCATTCATAGTCTTTAGAAAGGAAGCAACAGTTCGCATTGGCATGTTTAAAAAAAATCAGTACTTGAATTTGTAGATCATCAACTTGAAATTGAGCTTAAGTCTGTTGCATGCTCAGATATTTTACGTTTAAGCCATGTCACCTCAAGATTTAAGAAAATCATTTTGTGAATTATAACCTTTATAAGTGGACATTGAGTGTTTTCCTCTTTCTTTTCTTTTTTTAATGATATTCTTCATGGTCAGATGGCAATGTTCGTTGTGCCAAACTTGCATAGAGACTTGTGTTTGCTGTATGTAGGAGAAAAAGCTGCCTTGTAACTAATCTGGATCCCCGTATTTAACATCCAGGAAGGTTTTGAGTTTAACTTTTACTGCCATTAACTTCAAGCATTAGAGAGATGTTTGTGTTCATTATAATTGCAGACAGACCTGAAACTGTAGCTCTTGTGCCAAAAGATACGTAGTAGTGCTACTTGAAGGGAAGGTAGGTTATTTTGAGTATTTCGTTCGTCCCTCGGGTGCTACTGAGAGCTGAAGCCAGTGGCATGGACGCAGCAGCCCTGCATTACTCATTTTTTCTTCTTCTTTCTATCATGGCCTTAAAGCAGGTTTTCCACAGTCTTTAGTGTTTCTAGTCCAATTCTCTTTTTTGCACTCAAAAATGTGAAGTACAATTTTCTAGAAATTGATCTCTAGATTCCCTAAACCATTTAGAGCTGTATGCTTAAGTGCATCAAGTATTGTTGTACAATCTTCTGAAGTAAAAGGGTTTTACACTGTATAAGCACTTTGTATATAGCTCAGAGAATCTATATACATACACATATTTAACAATTGCATTTTAGCTATTGTTGAAATGCATATAAAATCATCATAAGGCTTTGATCTGTGGCCTCTTTTACCCCTGAAAAATTTAATTTCTTATGTTTGGTTGAAAGGCGAGATGTGGTTATTGAGGCACAACATGCTGATTCATACTGTGCCAAGAGGCAGATTACAAGCATTTGATGGCTTGCTTTGTTTGCAAAATGTAGTCCAAGTCTGTTATTAGCTATATAAGCGTTTCATCCCTCACAGTGCTTTAACATTGAAAGAAAAACAGAAATGGAAAGTAATATTTTGAACCGACATCACTGATACAGCCACTTTATTACCACTTCGATAGCACCTTCTATAGACTTACAATATGGTGCATATCTGCATCATACTTAAAAATTATATATGCAACAATCATAAGTGTCTGATTAGGTCAATATTAATCTGAAAATTGAAGAACAGGACTGGGGAAAATCCATAAATTTGTGTATGTCTGTGGGTGTCAAGTGCAGTGCTCTGTTGTGGAGAGTCTATCGTTTCTTCAGCCTAGGGAACTATACTAGTTGCTTTGCCACGTAGACAAATGTTGTATTTTAGATCCCTTAAACATTTGTGCTCTGTGCTTTCCTGGCCAAAACATGTTGAGCTGAAACTCGCATTCCTGAAAATGTTGGCCAAATGCAGCTTTCCTTGGTGTATTATTCAAATAGCCATTAAGTTTACATTCATTTGTTAATGGCACAGTGGAGGTGATTCTTAAAGGAACAGCTGACCCCAAAATCAACATTATTATTTATGTAACTATGTTTTTCCAAACTTGCCTTCTGCGAACACAAAAAGAACATATTTTGAAGAATGTTGATAACCAAACTGTTTTGGTTACCAACTTTTCTCAAAATATCTTTTATGTTCCACATAAGAAAGTGTGTCATAGAGGTTTGGAATCACATGAGAGTAAGTAAATAACAGGAATTACAATTTTGGGTGAACTATCCCTTTAATTATATACTTAAAAGAAGAACACAAAGCACAGTTATACAAATATTCCTGCTCACATTAAATATTCGATTTTTTAAATTATAGTTTAAAGGTGGGGTAAGCGATTTCTGGTAGCCAGGGTTGACATTTGAAATCACCAAAACAAACACACCCCTACACCAAAAGGGTCTTGCCCCTATTCTGGTAGCTCCGCCCCACACATACGTATGCAACCCAGGCAACGATTAGTTCTGTGAAAGAAAGCTAAACCAATGTTACACCGTGTCTACACCGGACGCGAGTGGCGCGGCACGACAAAATACTATAGAACTCATTATAATCAGTGATGCGGTCTACACCATAGATACATATACATATCTATGGTCTACACTGGATGCGGCACGACACGACAAATCCCCGACAGAAAACTGCTGCTGCGTTCTGTTCATGACGTATTGACACAAATTTCAAATGATTTTCAACGGTCGCTTTGTTTCACCTATCGAGAAGAAACAAAGCAACCTCGGCGTCCGATCGCAGGCCTCCGCTCCTTGAGTTCTCTCCAGCGCTGGAAAGCTGATCCGATATTTACACGGGTCCTACTTCTTGCCTTAAGCCTTCTTTTGTTCGGCAGATGTTTTCCTCTTTTGTTTTTTTATCCGCCATCTCTATCTTTCTGTCGCTCGACTTGGCTAATGTCCGTCTAGCGTCTTATTGGTTTTATGGCGAGTTGCAATCTTTGCATAGATTCTTCGCATATCGCCACCTACTGTGCTATTATACACCGCCACATCATGAGTAGACACGCCCCTTACTACTACTTCTGATATTTTTTGGCAGTTTTGGCAAACCAACTTAAAGGTGCATTACCGCCACTTATTGATCTCCAGTGTGGAGTGAACATAGATTTGGTAGAGAGAAGGATATATATATTAAAAAAATTTAAATTTAATTTTTTTTTTTAATTATATATATTCTTTCCATATTTCACGCCCCTTACTGCTGATTGGCTCCAAGTTTGTTTTGCTAGTCGGCCCGAATCAGTTTTCTAAAGCGTTTTTGAAAAATCGCTTACCCCACCTTTAATATTTATAGGGCATTTTGGGGGTTCTATATTCTATCATGGAGCATGAGTATTTTTGGTAACAGTTAACTTGACGCCTGTATGCATAATGCATTATAATTTTTTGAAAGGTTGTTTTTCCTTTGTTTTAATGCATTATGTGCAACAATGAATAGATAAATATTATAATTTATTATAACTGTGGTTATAATTATTCTTAAGCTCAGCCAATGCATTGTAAGGTGCATTACAAGGCATAATTAATGCATCAAAACAACATTTATAATGCATTATATATAAAAGCTTTTAAGTATTACCGTACATAAAAAATTTTTTTTTATGTGATTAGGTTGATTTTGTTTGCTATTGTGTTAGTGGTGTCATAGTTTTAGCATTGCACTAGAAAATGTGTTTCTTACTGAACACCAGTTATTAAAAACAGGTAAAAGTTAGGCAACGCTTCCTTTTTGCATGTTGTGCACATTACTGAATTCTCTAACTTTCTCTGATTTTATAACTGGCTTCAACATTTATAATGCATTATATATAAAAGCTTTTAAGTATTACCGTACATAAAAAAAAATTTATGTGATTAGGTTGATTTTGTTTGCTATTGTGTTAGTGGTGTCATAGTTTTAGCATTGCATTAGAAAATGTGTTTCTTACTGAACACCAGTTATTAAAAACAGGTCAAAGTTAGGCAACGCTTCCTTTTTGCATGTTGTGCACATTACTGAATTCTCTAACTTTCTCTGATTTTATAACTGGCTTTGCAACTCGTGTGAACACTTATGCAGAACTAAAGGAAAGCTTTACAATGATTTAGATTTTCCCTTTAAGAAGATAAAGACATGATTTCACACAATGACAAGCAATTTGAGAAGTTAAAGGTGATGTGACTTTTTTTTTTTTATGTTAACACCTCCTCTCCAAGCTCAACTTCTAGCAAGCCATTCATAGGTTCATTCCTAAAAAATTTTTTAAACATTCTGGATTCATCAAAACATCTGTGTATGCTTTTGTTTAACATGGTAACCCGTGTCAACCAATGGTGTAAGCTTAGGGGCGGGGCTAACTGTTTGTCTGACCAATGACAGATAAGGGAAGTGTTCAATAAACTTGACTGAAAACTGATCATTTCTGATTCCTAAAAAAAAAAAAAGTAAACATTCTGGATTCATCAAAACATCTGTGTGTGCTTTTAACATGGTAACCCGTGTCAACCAATGGTGTAAGCTTAGGGGCGGAGCTAACTGTTTGTCTGACCAATGACAGATAAGGGAAGTGTTCAATAAACTTGACTGAAAACTGATCATTTCTGCACTTCCATTTAGTAAGAAATGACACTCATCACCTTTAACGACTCGGTATATTTCTGCTTTGCCAAGTTCTGACTCCACCACCCAGGGAGGTTATCAGAAACGTATGGTAGCCCATTTCTGCCACTGAATCAAAAAAAATAAAAAGGTAATTGCAACTTTTTATCTCACAATTCTGACTTTTCTTCTCAGAATTGCGAGATAAAAACTCGCAATTCTGACTTTTTTCTTGCAATTGCGAATTTATATTCGCAATTCTGACTTTTTTTCTCACAATTGCGAGTTATAAAGTCAGAATTACGTGATATAAATGCACAATTGCGAGTTAGTCCAATTTTGAGGAGGGAAAAAAGACTGATATGTTCTCAGAATTGCGAGACTATTATATATATTATATCTCACAATTCTGACTTTATAACTCGCAATTGCGAGAGAAAAAAATCTGAATTGTGAGTCTATATCTCGCAGTTCTGACTTTATTTCTCAGAATTGCGAGTTTATATCTCTCAATTATGAGAAAAAAAAGTCTGAATTGTGAGAAAGTCGCAATTACCTCTTTTATTTTTTATTCAGTGGCGGAAACGGGCTTCCATAGAAACATGCTTCATCCTTTTTTTTTTTTTTTTATCTAAACTTGACTGAAAACTGATCATTTCTGCACTTCCATTTAGTAAGAAATGACACTCATCACCTTTAACGACTCGGTATATTTCTGCTTTGCCAAGTTCTGACTCCACCACCCAGGGAGGTTATCAGAAACGTATGGTAGCCCATTTCTGCCACTGAATCAAAAAAAATAAAAAGGTAATTGCAACTTTTTATCTCACAATTCTGACTTTTCTTCTCAGAATTGCGAGATAAAAACTCGCAATTCTGACTTTTTTCTTGCAATTGCGAATTTATATTCGCAATTCTGACTTTTTCAAAAAAATAAAAAGGTAATTGCGACTTTTTATCTCACAATTCTGACTTTTCTTCTCAGAATTGCGAGTTAGTCCAATTTTGAGGAGGGAAAAAAGACTGATATGTTCTCAGAATTGCGAGACTATTATATATATTATATCTCACAATTCTGACTTTATAACTCGCAATTGCGAGAGAAAAAAATCTGAATTGTGAGTCTATATCTCGCAGTTCTGACTTTATTTCTCAGAATTGCGAGTTTATATCTCTCAATTATGAGAAAAAAAAGTCTGAATTGTGAGAAAGTCGCAATTACCTCTTTTATTTTTTATTCAGTGGCGGAAACGGGCTTCCATAGAAACATGCTTCATCCTTCTTTTTTTTTTTGTTTTTATCTGACTGAGCAAGGAAAGCACTTAAGTCTTTGTAAATCTGCGCCGTGTGAGAGTGGCTGTTAGCTCATGAATGAAACCTGCTTTTGAATGCAAAAACGCATCTTTATCTGGCGTATTCATTGACATTTTTGCACATAATCACGGTTCGTTCCGGACAGACGTGGATCGAGACGAAGTTCCTGTTGTTGACATGTGACCAAAGCTTGATCTCGTCATCATTTATGTACATTTAGTTTTTAAGAGATGCTTTAATATTTCCTCTCAATGCCAAGAAGCTGAGGTTTATTTTTGTACTTCATAGATTCATGCAGATTTATAGGTCCTCCAGTGCAGAATCTAGGATTTAAGGGTTCTAAGGTAAACTGTCACCCATCAAGGTACTCTCTTTGAAGATACTAACTATCATGTATTTAATGTGAGAAGCATGCCCTATATAAATGAATATAAATATATATATATATAAAGATTATATTATCATGTGATTATTTGTATAAAATGAACTTTTCTGTTTATACGAAATTGTTTTAATATCTGAAGCCTAATGTATATTATATTTTTAAGTTTCTAATTTAGCATGCAGTATACTGCTGAATATTTTCATTGTGTTAAATTATTGAATTGTTTTTAGTTTAGGAGATCATTTGAGTTGTTTTACTGATTTAGTAAAAGGACTAAATGCGAGCACTTTTGCTGTCTGTCAGCTAGGACTGTGGGTGCTGGCTCATCGTTTCATTTCAGATGCTGCTATGCTTAGTTTTGAGCAGAAAGCTGTATTTTTAATTAACTTTTCAGCCAAGTAGCAATAAATTTTTTTACTGTGAAACACGTGTCTCAGAAGTCCTTTATGGAATGTACTGTATTTGCGCATAACATATGCATGTCTCAGAATACTTTAATATATATAGTTGCGTAACAGACGCACATATAAAGAGAAGGAAATAATCTTGCTTAATATGTTAAAGTACTAAATGTGAACTAGGCTCATCGGCACCAAACATAATGAAATGAGTATGTATATTATGTAATACATACAACCTGCTTTCTGCAGGTTTTCAAGATGGTCAATTTCAGACCAAACAGAAAATGTAGAAAATCAATTGAAGGCAACTAATGGCGCGGATGTTCCCTGAATGTAAATGTCTTGAGAGAAACACAATGAGTTGTATTAGCAATACTTAAAAGTACAACTTCCAACCGATCTCCCAACTTTTTAATTAATTTGACAAACTAGAATTTGGAAATTACTTTTACTGCACCTTCTGATCACACTGCAAAAGAGTGGTGTTCATTTTTGTTGTTTTTCAGTGCAAACGTCTAAAGATTCTTCAATCATGAAACATTTACTTGAGAAACTAAATGACGTTTTCTGTGAAATTGAGTTTATGGTTAAAACAAATATCTGGCTCAGAAAAACATTACATTACATTTAAAGGGAAACCCAGTTTTCATACCTCATTGACATTTCTTGTTTCAAGCATAAACACTTCAATTTGTACAATATTTTAAGACTTTTACATTTGCATCTCAAGTAAACGATGTTTAAATGTTTCTATTGGAAAACTATTTTTTTTTGCAACATTTAGTGTCATGACTATGAATTTATAACTTGTGGATGGATGAATAAAGACTTTAAAAACCGCAGAAACCCTAATAAAGTAATTCATTTTGTGTAATTCAACTCATTCTCAATATATTGTGTGTTTCGTTTTAATTAATGAATCAAATCTAATGTTTGTGAAGAATATCTGAAAAAAACATTTCATCAAAAACTCTTAGGAAGAAAGCAAACTTGTATATATAAAAAAAATACATATCCTTCTGATACTGTAAAAATACTAACCAAAGCATTTACACTGCTGTAGGACCTTCTGTGCTTTCCACATTTCAATCTCTTCATGAAATGGCGTAACCTTCACAGGTTGTTGTCTTCTGTCGGCCTCTCCTTCATCTTCCGCACTCGTATGAAGCCTCTGATGGCCAACACGGCGCTTATGGGGAATATAATAATCCCCAGAACACCAAACAAGCCTCCAGCTATGTCTGCCCCGTTGAGATTGCACTCGAATCCTCTGTGACCTTTGCTGCTGTACATGGCTTCCCTCTCTTTACAGATGGGGTTGTTGTAGATCTCCTGCAGCTTTATGAAGTAGAAAGCGACGGCAGGAATAAAACCGAGACCTATGAGCACATCCAGCAGGGCTTCAGCCAGCAGCAGAGGAGGGAAACGGTAGGGTACGCGAAGCACTCCGAGGGCCAGCGTGGCACAAGCGTAAAGCATCAGCGCCCCACCACACGCCATGCTGTAGACGTAAGGGGGCAGTTTGAGCTGGTAGAACTGGTCGTCGAGCTGCTGGACCTTCTGCGCCTCTGCTCCGGTGAATGCGTTGGCTCCTCCGTAATAGTACTGGTACAAACCGCCTAAACTGGCGATATCCCGATACCGACCCGAGTTACTGTGGTTCACTCCAGCACAGATGACAAGCAACAAGCCTAAGAAGAATTCCATGGCCTGACAGATGCCTATAGGACAAGAACATGTGCACATTAAAATAGATTTCAGAAATGTAAAATATTGTTCAGCATAGATCATACAAGACTGACTTAAAGGTTGAAGGCCCTACTCAATGCATGTTTCGCAAGATTCCCCTTTCTGTCAAACATATTTTATTGGACTGTCCCGCTTTTAATGTATGCAGAAAACTCTTTTATGAAGCGAGTTTAGTATGATTTTGCCAGAAAAAGTTTTAGAATTTTTATCATACGTTAATGTAAAAAATCTTGTGTAATATAACTTGTGTTTGCTGGTTTTTATTGTATTTGTTATACTTGTATTTTTTTATATAAAAATAGCCTACGGTACATTCACACGGGGAGTCGGCGTCGACGCTTGACGGAGGGCGTTTCTGAAGCTTGGTGCTGACGCGACTGTCATAGTGAAAACAGCCAATCACATTAGTTTTCTGGTGTTGCATGAACGCGATTGGCTAGCGTCTGCACCAGGGTATTTGCATAAGGCGATCTGATTGGCTGACGCCTGCGTTTGGTGCTTAAAGTTGAAAAGTTTTCAACTTCTGCCACGAGCAACGGACCCAACGCGACGGACCCACAATTAATTTTGCCAACGCTTGACGTCACTCCATTCAAAGTAAACGAGAAGCGTTGACGCTGACGCCCCGTGTGAATGGGGCTTAAAGATGCTGACATGGCATTAAATAAACATATACTACTACTACAACAATATTGTTCACAAAGTTGGGATCAGAAAGATTGTTTAATAATTAAACTATTTAATAATAATTAATACTTTTATCAAAACTGACTATAAATACATTTATAATGCGCATTTTGTTAGTAAAGCCGGTTCTGTAATCAGCAGGAAATCATCATCACGTGCTTTCAGATGGAGCAGAATTCACTACACATAGCCGTAGTTCACCGACAAGTTACGCAAAAAAATAAATGATCGCAGACGATTTTATTGCGCGATTCTGAAATCGTTTGCGATAATGACAGCTGTTTGCATAGCTTCTCAGTGAACTACGGCTCTGTGAAGTTAATGCTGCTCCATCTGAAAGCATGTGAAAATACCACATTTAATAACATATTTTTACTCCAAACTCACTTCATAACGTGAGTCGAGTGTTTGAAATAAATCCTTCTGTGAGATGATGTGGCTTCTTACACAGAATAAGGCATGCGACATATTTCGTAGTACTTAAGCAGTGATAAAGGCATTGCATTATAAATATACTTTATTTTAATGAAAATTATAATAAGAACTCAGATAAACCGTATATTGCCGTAGTCGTGTGTTTATTAGTCACGTTGAATCAATGAAAGCAGTTGAATCTTCTGTTTATTCAGCTGCAGCGATAGGCATTTTCTGGGTTTGTTCTGCAAGGCGTAATTGGAGTTTCAGCGCGAGAGATTTACTGCTGATCACAGAACCGTGCTTCACTGAAAGATACGCATGACAATCGCAGCTTCTGTCGAATCGCGATCTCGATTCCATTTCGATTTATCGTGCAGCCCTACATTCTAGTGTAGCTGTATTCAACTTTTATTGAAAACTCTTTTTTGTCTTATATCTCCACCTAGTTTGCTACCATGGTTGGTGACTTTCTTTCCCCAAAATTAAAAGATAGACTGTTAATTTCTAAGCTCTCTAGGTTAGCAAGAGACTGTTTCAAAGTAGCTTCTCCAGCACAAACAAAACCTCAAAGTGAGTTTACCTCTGCTAGTTGTGATGTATCTTAGGTTGTAAAGTGCATGATGGTAGGGTTGACTGTCATCATAGTATGAGGATGATGTCTCGGTGTAACTGGGCCTGTAGAGAATATTACAACAAGCAGGGCAGAAAGTCACAGCATGCATGCATACTTCTGCTGAGGACATAATTATTTTGTAGGTGGGAAAGAGACATCAAAATCACTCCTTACACTCCCCGACTATGATAACGGGTGGCCTCGTACACACGGGGGTCCCTTTGTGTGTCAGCATATCTTTGTTTCTCTCGGTGGCTCCGTGATCTGTCGTCTCCATCAGGGGCTCTCCTGTCTCGACTAGAGTAGTCTTTGTCCCTTGTGTGATGATGCCGGCTTGATTCTGGCATTGCCTGAGAAATAAGGAGATTTCACAAATTTCATGGGTTTCAAATTTGACGCACCTTCATCTGAATAATAGTGAAACCAACATGACAAGTTGTTGTTAGTTAACTGATGTGGGTTGGAACAGTCTCCCATCAAGAAAGATTCTCCATTTAATCATATTACTTTTATAGAAGTAAACTATTTCTGTGAAGTAAACTTTTTATTCTGTGGCAAGATGGACTCATTTCCTGAACCTAATCACCAAAATAAACCGTACAAGGTAACGAATATTTACAAGTAACTCTGTAATGAAGCAATTAATTAACACAGAGCCTACCTTTTACTGAAATGCGATCTCGATTCCATTTCGATTTATCGTGCAGCCCTACATTCTAGTGTAGCTGTATTCAACTTTTATTGAAAACTCTTTTTTGTCTTATATCTCCACCTAGTTTGCTACCATGGTTGGTGACTTTCTTTCCCCAAAATTAAAAGATAGACTGTTAATTTCTAAGCTCTCTAGGTTAGCAAGAGACTGTTTCAAAGTAGCTTCTCCAGCACAAACAAAACCTCAAAGTGAGTTTACCTCTGCTAGTTGTGATGTATCTTAGGTTGTAAAGTGCATGATGGTAGGGTTGACTGTCATCATAGTATGAGGATGATGTCTCGGTGTAACTGGGCCTGTAGAGAATATTACAACAAGCAGGGCAGAAAGTCACAGCATGCATGCATACTTCTGCTGAGGACATAATTATTTTGTAGGTGGGAAAGAGACATCAAAATCACTCCTTACACTCCCCGACTATGATAACGGGTGGCCTCGTACACACGGGGGTCCCTTTGTGTGTCAGCATATCTTTGTTTCTCTCGGTGGCTCCGTGATCTGTCGTCTCCATCAGGGGCTCTCCTGTCTCGACTAGAGTAGTCTTTGTCCCTTGTGTGATGATGCCGGCTTGATTCTGGCATTGCCTGAGAAATAAGGAGATTTCACAAATTTCATGGGTTTCAAATTTGACGCACCTTCATCTGAATAATAGTGAAACCAACATGACAAGTTGTTGTTAGTTAACTGATGTGGGTTGGAACAGTCTCCCATCAAGAAAGATTCTCCATTTAATCATATTACTTTTATAGAAGTAAACTATTTCTGTGAAGTAAACTTTTTATTCTGTGGCAAGATGGACTCATTTCCTGAACCTAATCACCAAAATAAACCGTACAAGGTAACGAATATTTACAAGTAACTCTGTAATGAAGCAATTAATTAACACAGAGCCTACCTTTTACTGAAATGGACGAAGCAAGCAGTGATTTGTCTGGGTTTCGCTCAGGGTTCTTGTGTTGTTGTGAAAGTACACACCTGAGAAACCTGTCTGACTCTGACTCCGCCTCAGAAGCGTCACGACGCCGCACCATTACACACAGCTTCAGCGCGAGATTTGTAAACCTGTCTTTGTGCTCTTTTAAAGACACATGGAGAATTATTTAAATGTGATTTCGGTATCTACTAATAAGAAAGCTATGAAGACTGTTAGAATTTGCTCCGCATTTAAAGTCTTCGTATAAGGAATCGTATGTCAAATAATGCCCCTTCATTGCATTTTTTGGTTTTTATTTACTTTTTTTAAATTGTATTTTTACTGTTTTACTTTTGTTATTGTCTTTTCAAGTGTCACTACTTTTGATATTTTGTATTTTGTACTGTTTTGCATGTTCATATTTTCAGCAGCAGCAACAACAATAATAATAATAACAGGCAAAAAAAAAAAAAAAAAATGTTC